TTTGCCAAACTGTGCCTCTGCCTGGCAAGGCAGAAACAGACACACGTGGCCTCGCCTCCACAGAGGCCAGTACCTAACCACTGTGCGCAGTCCCCAGGCCAGCCACCCGTCTGGCTGTGGCAGCGCCACCGGCATCTGTCTCCCGGGCACGTAAGAGCCACCAGAGAGGCACCTGGCCGCTCGCATGGCTCCCCAGGGCGGGGCTGACCCTGGGCTGTGAGGAGCGGCCAGCGCCCTGAGCCTCAGCTGCTCCACTGGCCGACAGAAGGAGCGTGCGGCTGGCCTGAGAGCGCGGACAGAGGACCACAGGGTGTCTGCAAGAGCTGGACACCCCCTGGAGCGAGGCCGTGGGTGACTGCAGGCTACGAACACGGTGGCGGGGCTCCCTTGCCCACGTGGCTTCAGCGGGGACGCTCCCCCGAGGATCCCGAGAGCTGACCTGGCCACCCTCCTCTTGGTCCCACGAGGAGAGAAGTGGGGTGACCGAATGACTCCTCCTTTCCCGCCCACACTCTGGTGGGCCGCCAGCCCGCTGGGTCCAGCCCAGGACGTGTCAGCACAGGGCACCCCCCCACTCTGCCGCCCCGGCCCCACTGGGTCCACGCAGCTCCTAAACGAGGCTCAGACTGCCGTTCTCAGCCTCTGCTGCCCCATCTCCGTCACAGGACCGGCCCAAGCCTCTGTGGACCTGGCACTCGCCAGGCCGCCGCACGACTGCCCTGGGCTTTGTCTTAAGGTTTACCCTTATTTTTATTCCGACGTGCGTGGTTTAGAGCCCAGTCACGCCCAGTAGGTCCTCTCCTCCTCCGGCCAACGACTCCGATTACCTCGGTGTTAAGCGGCTGATCCCCTGCCGGCTCGCATGTGCCCCTCCTCCTGTCCTCATCCTCCCAGGACCCAGGACTGTTAGGACAGTAGGTGCTGCTGGAGCTGGGCTGTGGCAGACGAGGATTCCGCGCTATTTCCTGCACAGCATCCTGTCTTCCCTGGAGCTGACGCTGTCCCGTCTTCCGTTTGCTGACTTTTCTGTGCACCCATCGCTAACGCAGCCCAACCTCTTTGCTGACCCACGTGGGAGCTTCCTAACCCTGCGGTGGCAGCAGATGTAAACAGGAGACGTGAGATGGGTGCCCCGGGCAGGGCGGCGGCTCCGTGCAGCCAGGGCAGCGGGCCCAGGGACACGGGGCACGCATGGCAAGGCCTGGGCCACAACGCCCCCTGAGACACGGGCCAGTTACGTCCTGACGACCCCCTGGCCTGAAAGAGGCCCAGAGCCTCTGACCCGCTCCAGCCAGGGCTTGCTCCTCCCCCACATGTGTCCCAGGCTGGCGTCTCGGGCTCTCTGCGCTTCGTCTCCTCTGCTGGTCTGCTCGCTCTGCTGGGCACATCCTCTGACAGCCTCCTGAGATGGGGCGCACGGTGAGCTTTTCCGGGCTTGCTGGAGCGCGGGTGCGGGCCGGGGCTGCCGCCGGGCTCCTCTGGGAACCTGGAGCAGTGCCCACGGCTTTCCAGCACCAGGGCTGCTGCTGAGAAGGAAGCGCTTCTGATCCCTGGCCTTTGACAAGTGACCCGCTTCTCCCCTGGGGGGGGCCCTTTCATCCACCCACACGGAGCGGCCTCATCGCCACACGGTGCCGGTGTGACCTGCGACCCCGCCTCTCCTGCAGCCCCGCGACTCGGCGGACCTCGCGGGCCGGGCGGCTCCTCGCGTTTCCTCAGCTTTTATCTCCTGCTTCCCAGCTCGTCGCCTTGTTCTTCTACTTTTCAGATAAACCTTCTAAATTTTATCCATAAATCTGCTGTTTAGATTTTCATTTAACTCTTGGATATTTCTAACTTCCAGAAGTTTGTTGTTTTTCATTTTGAAAAATCTGCAGCCTCTCGCTTGCGCTTTGCTGTTGGAAGTCCGTCCTTGTCTCTCTGAGGACGCAGTGTTTTGGAGGTTCCCTGCACTCTGGCGGCCTGCGCCCTCCAGGTGCGTTTTTCTACTTGTTGCTCTCGCTCCCTGGTCACAGCCAGCAGTGGGTCCTCCTGGCCTGTCAGCTCAGCCCAGGGTCCGGCCAGCTGCCTCCGGGGTCAGTGCTTTCGGGTCTCCTCCGGAGCTGGTTAGGCTCCACAGGGCGAAAGGGGAGGGCGGGGGCGTCCGGGCATCCACCAGCCTCATCCCTCGGCTCCACTGCCGGCTCTCGTCCTGGATGGGCCCTGTCCACACCGTCTCCGGAGCTGCAGCTCACAGACATGCGGGAGGACGTGGGCTGCCCCGGAACCCCGCAGGCCTGAGACGGCGCCCGAGGACCTGCATGGCCCACATGTTCCTGGGGCGCCTGCTGCCCGCCTGGGAACCACCCCTTGGGAACGGCTGCTCCAGGAGAAGAAACCGCTGTGCCGACTTGCATTTCTCACTTCTGCTGGGAGAGAGGCCACGGCCCACCACGCAGAGCTGGGTGAAGGTCTGGGAACCCTTCCTGCCCCTTGATCACACCCCCAAGCAAGCTTGCCGGTCACGCCCCTCCCCCAGCGCCCCCTGCTGCCCTGGGCCTCTGGGGAGGCTTGTGGCGTCAGTCAGCGTGGTTCCTGCCTCGACTCCGTCTTCCTGAGCTTGCTCACCATTGGACCACCCGCCCACCGACTGTCCGGATCCCAAAGGTTTGCCGTTGTCCCTCTTGCTGTGGGGCCTCGAGGAGGACGGTCCGACGGGCCGTCTCTGCCTGGAAGCCCACAGCGTCTGTGGGCACGTGTCACGGCGCCCTTGGGAGGCTCCAGGCAGCTGTGTCCCCAGCGCTGAGCGCAGAGCCACTGGTCGGGAGGAGGACGGACCTCGCTGGGCAAACGATCTGTCACATTAGACGGCACGAGTCCTTTCAGAGAGTAAAGAGCCACCTCGAGGTGCCGCGCCTGCACCTTCAGCTTGTGAATTTGTCAAGGACACACGGGCCGCTCGAGAAGAGGCGCTGGAGCCGCGGCTGGAAGGAACACGGGGAGAAACAGTAATGCGGCCGCCCACTTGCCGAGGACCCTGCAAGAGGCCTCTCCTGGCCTTCACCGGGGAGGGCGGGACGCTGGCCACCTGCCCCCACCCCCACCCCCACGGCAGTCTTTGCGGCTGAGCCGGGGTTTGGCCGCAGAACGGCCACGGGGGCACCTGGGCAGCCGACACCGCCAGTCCGAGCGGCATGGGGGGCTCTGTTTCTGCCCCAGGAACAGAAGGCCTGTGCTTTCCAGGCCGGGATGCCAGGACCTTCTCCGTCTGGCTGCTGCCGATGAAAAGTGCAAAGTGAGGAGTTTGTGTAGGAGCGCCAGCTGAAAGGCCAGGAGAGCAAAGCAGCACCCCGAGGGGGGCACGCGGAGGTCCTGAGCTCTGGGGGCCTCGCGCTGCGGCAGTAACCGTCTCTGCTCCGACCTGCGGTGGGGAGAGAGCTCTGTCCTGGGCACGCCTCTGCACGTTTCTCGTCGTGGTCATGACTGGATGCTCTGATCCAAGAGCCAGCCCTGCACAGAGGCCACCGCCCCCTCGGAAGACAAGATGGGAGAGGCCGGCACAAGGTGTGAACGGGCATGGGCGTGCGTGTCCACAGGAGGGCGTGCACTTCACACGACACGTGTGTGCTCACCGTCCATAAGCCCAGCACGCGACCTCGGGAGAGCAACTGAAGGGCAGCTGCAATCCTGTAAAACCAGGAGGCGCAGAGTTCAGGTGGAAGATGGCAAACCGCACTGATTCCGCACCGTGGGGTGAAGCCACGACGGTGCACGAACCCCCCATCTCACAGAGGACACTGGGCCGAGGGTCCTGGGACCACGACGCGCTCAGGATGCCATGGGAAGGGGGACAACACGGCGAAGGACGGAACAGCACCAGGGAGCAGGGATGGAGCATGGCTCCCGCAGGACGGCCGGGCTCAGCCTGGCTCTCGAGACCCTGCAGCTTCAGCGCGGGTGGTGTAGGGAACGCACAGCTGGGGCTCAAACTCAGGCCTGGCTGACCGAGCGCTTGGCCTCGTAGAGCCCCTGTGCCCCAGGTGCTGAGGGCAGCCTCCCACCTCCACGGTCTCACGGGGCAGTGACCGCTGACTTCAGGCACTTCGAGAAAGGCTGGTTCCACGCAAGGTAGACGGTGGAAGCAGATGGGCCGGAGGGGGGCTACACCTACGAGCCTGGCAATGGGCGACGCACAGACCCCTGCTCCAGACAAGAGGACGGCTGCACCCACTTCCCAACTCCAGCCGCAGTGGGCACACAGGAAGAGATGACAGACATGGGAAGGGGAAGTGGGGAAGGGCTTCCCAGCGGAAAAGCCACTCAGAAATGCACGTGGCGAATGGCAAGAAAACAGCAGCCTGGCCCTCTCGACGCAGACGCCTGCGGATACCACTGAGGGGGCAGCGAGCAGAGCCCTCCTCCCAGCCACCCGTGGGCAGCAGCGCTGGGCACCCTCCGACAGCACAGCCTCCCCGTGGGGCCGGACTGGGTGACCCCTGGGAAAATGGAGCCTCCAGAGGGTCCCCTCCCTCCTTGGCACTGATGGACCCACCTCTCTCTGCACTAGGGCGGGACCTGGTGACCACGGCGTGCCGGGGACAGGCTCAGCGGTCACTGCACTGCCCTGGAGAGACGAGCTGCGAGGTCAGAGGCTGTGGCCCTGGGTTAGAACTGCAGAGCAGGCGAGACCCGCGTGACAGAAAAGGCAGCTTCCTGGGTTCCTCACAGACCCCTGCGGAGGGCTCACTGGGTCCCTGAAATGTACTCAGATGGTGAAAGATGGCCCCCGCTTCCACGGAGTACTGGGTTTACTCACATGCGTAGAAACTGCTAAACGATACTAACTTGTTTCAGGGGTCGGCAGGGCTCCAGCCATCGGGTCCTCATCGCGCCTGTGTCACCTCCTGCCGCTCTGCAGGCCGGCACCACCAAGCCTCCCGCACAGCCCCGGGGATGCCCACAGCCTAGCTGCCTGCACGGGCTGGACACACGGACAGACGGACGGACGGACAGGGGCCTACCTGCCACCGCCCCGGACGAGGGCAGCCCCGCGGCGGCCTCCAGGTCGGGGGGGACGGCGCCGCCGGCCTCCAGGGCATGGACCAGCTCCCGCAGCCGCGCGCACTCCTCACGCAGCCGCTGCCGGTCCTCGTGGAGCCGCTGCCTCGCCGCGCCGGCTGGGTTCAGGCTCAGGTGCAGCACCTTGGCTCTGCTCTGGTCGTAGTCCCCCTGCGGGACCACAGGCAGGAGGTCAGAGCCCCTCGTGGAGCGAGAGCAAAGGGGAACCCGAGCCTGGCCTGTGGGGTCCCAGCCCCCCTCCCTGGGCTGTGGCCTCCATTAAACGGGGGAGCAAACAGAAAGCCCACCCAGCCCATCTTCAGAGCATCGTCAGAACTCGGCACACGAGCCCCCTTCTCTGAGTCTCGCCAAGTACCAGCTGCTGGGAGGGAGGTCTCTTCACAGTGCGGCGCTTTCAGACACCATCAGCAAACACCCCAACGCCTCTGGGTTCTCGCCAGCCTCTCAGCGACCCTCCTATCTCATGGTCTTTAAGAGTGGGACCCGTTTTTTAAGATTTAAAAACAAACAAACAAAAAAACCCAACTTACTAAAACTGACGCTGAAGCAGAGTCCCCACGTGCCCCACACGGTCCCGTTACTGACACGTGACATCAGCCGTGCACCTGTTACAGTTCGAAAGCGAACACTGACGCCAGCCTAACTAAACTCCCTCCTTCCTTCTCAACTCCTTAGTTTCCTCCAAATGCCCTTTTCTGTTCCCAGATCCGTCCTGCGGGACCCCACGGGACTTTTAGCTGTCCGATTTCCGCGGCTCCTCTGGGCTGGCAGTTTTCTGGGCTTTGTTTTGGGTGACCTTCAGAGTGTGGAGGATGCCGCTCGGGCGTCCTGAAGATGCCCTGCTGTCGGGATGTGGCCGACACTTTCCTCACCGTTACCTGGGGTCAAGATTAGGGGAGGAAGACCCCAGAGGTTAAGTACCTTCTCATCACACCGTGTGGACGCTCCCCGCTACCAAGGTGACCCTGACCCCTGGCTGAAGTGCGGTTGTCCCCTTTGGACACACCCACACCTAAGGAGTCAGGGTTACGCTCCCTTCCAAGTTGACGAGACCCTCAACTGTCTGCGGACACAACCCACCTCTTCCCCTCCCGGCTGGTAGGAGCCCGCCAGCCACAGGGGAACAAGGTCAGCCTGGCAGAGTGTGAAGGGGGCCGGACATCAGGGGAGGCGTTTGATTAAGTGGGTGCTGAATGGCCTGAAATCCACACGCAAAACCCAGGGCCCAGGGCGGCTGTGGCGACCTTGTGGGAGAGGCATCACCGCACATTACAAATCTGCAGTGACCAAGGCAGGTGCTGAGGGCCAATGGGGAAAGGACGGTCTCCCCAGTACGTGCTGCAGGGTCAACTGGATGCCCACATGACCTTGACCTTGACCTCACACCACACAAACATCACTCCTGAGTGACAGCAAAGCTACACGCAAAGGTTTAGGAGAGAATATAGGGACGTCTTTGTGACCCGGGAGTAGACGAAGGTTCTTAAACAAGGTTCAAAACGGGCTAAACAAGTGAAAGAAAAAATAAACTGGACTTATAAAAATTAAGAACTTCTATTTATCAAAAGAGTAAAAAGGGAACCAACAGAGTGGGAGATACATGAAACACATAAATCTGACAAAGAACTCACATCCAGAACATACAAAGAGCCCACACGAATAAACAAGAAAAAGCCAGACAAATCACACAGGGTGGGGGGGGGTGTCCCCCACGGAGGACCGTGTGTCAGTGAGAGCGAAGGTCTGCACGCAGGACGACGTGGGCAACCCTCTCACACAGAGCGGAACAGACCAGCCGGACCTGGCGGACAGACATGGGGTGGCCGCTGACACCACAGGACGAGGTCGGGGCCAAAGGCAGAGCTGGGAGGGGACTCGGGTCTGTGCTGGTCTGGACGCTGGTGACCGAGCGCGGTCGGTGAGAGACACTCACTCCTGACGTGTGTGCTTTCCCGTACGTACACGTGTTACTCGATACGAAGTTTCTAGAATGTGCACCAAGTGAGTTCATGGGTGCTTCCAGGCACAGGTCAGCTCTGCCTCAGCTTTCCAGGCGCGAGCATCAGTGAATCCCCCGCCCCGCAAAGCCCACTGGCGTCGGGTTTTGCCACCAAGAGTCACCCCAACAGATGAGAAGGGCCCAGGCGGTCAGCAAACAGACCACCGACGAGTAAACTCAGGAGGCAGCGCCTCTGCTCCGCCCAGCTGCTGTCCCCACGGCTCAGCCCCGGGCGTCTGCCAGGAGGGGTAGCGCAGGTCGGAGGCTTCGGAGGTCAAGGTAGAGGCCAAGTCTCTTTGGCCGTCACTCCCTGGGCCTCCCAGGGCGAGGGCTGAGGGGGGCCTGGGCATCCCTCCCACCCGGTGCTGAGACAGAGACACGGGAGTGTCCTGGGCTGAGGGGCAGTGGCCCAGGCCCGGGCCCGCCCGCCTCTCACAAGGGATGCTGGGCCAGCTGAGTGGGCATCTCCCTCCTGCCCGGACACCGAGATTCCTTCCCGGACAACCCACCCTCCCAGCTGTGACTTCTGCCCACAGCTCCCTCTTCCGGGGGGCGGCAGAAATGGCACCCTTCACTCAGATCGTCGAATCCCCCGGGAGGGAGGCCAGGGGTGGACACTCACTCAGCGGAACAGTCCCAGCGCGGGAGCCAAGTTGTGTGGCCACCACTGGCCAGCCCTCGGCCAGCCGCCAGCTCAGAGCCCCCGAAAGTGACCCCAAAAGGGAGGGAGGGGAGCATGGAGACACCCCCTCCCTGCCGCAGGCAGAGAGAGGGCGGGAGAGGGGGAGAGAGCCTGGCGGAAGGCAGAGGGCTGGCAGCCGGCGCCTCCCAGGCTTCTGAGAACCTTGTAAAAACCTCGAAGGATAAAGAGACATCCTGGAACTCCGAGTGAATCACAGACTGTCAGGGTTGGAAGGGATCGTTATTTCATCCGATTCTAACACTCTGGGAGACACAGCCAGGCGTATGGAATCCATCTGCCCTGCGCACCCTGGCAGAGGGCCCCGCGGCAGACGGGAGGTGGGCCAGGTGCAGCGGGAACTCATGTTCCCCGTGGGTCTGGGGTCAGGGGGGTACAGGGAGAGGACGAGGGCAGATGTGCTCTGCAAAGGGCCGGAGAGCACATGCGTCAGGCGGTGCTAGTCACACCATCTCTGTCCTAGCAGGTCAGCTGATGGGGAAGGAAGGAGAGACGGGGGGGAAGGAAGGAGGGATGGGGGGAAGGAAGGAGCGGGGGAAGGAAGGAGGGAGGGGGGGAAGGAAGAAGGAGGGAGGGGGGAAGGAGGGAGGGAGGGGAAGGAAGGAGGGAGGGAGGGGAAGGAAGGAGGGAGGGGGGAAGGAAGGAGGGAGCGGGGAAGGAGGGAGGGGGGAAGGAAGGAGGGGGGAAGGAAGGAAGGAGCTCTGGGCGCCGTGGACACACAGCCCCGCCCTGCACAGCCCCCTCCAGTGTCCCTAGAGCTGCTCTTCCTCATTTGTCTTCAACCCTTTAATCGTGCAAAGCAAAAGCGGGCTGGCAGGCTGAATCCACCGGGCTGCACCCCTCTCCTTTACCTCAGATATTCAAGGGTCCCCCTTCCCCCCAGGCCACAGGCTCTCCCAGTCTGGCCATGCTGACCACTGGCTTCACGCCCACCTCTCTGCCTGCTCAGGACTCACATGCTGACGCCCCGGGAGGGCCCGGGCAGGGAGCTGGGCACAGAGACTGACCCCAAGGTCACCAGTGACCCTTGGCCGAGGCGTTGGACCTGTCGAGCCTCAGGGTCATCCTGCCCAGCAGATGTGGGGAGAATCGGGGAAGACGGCACCTGGACATCAGGGTCGGGGGCAGGACGCTGCTGTGGAAACGCCTGACACCCCACGGGCAGGAAGGGGAGCTACCGCTCCCATCCCAGAGCACGGTGTCTGACCACCGGCTTCCCCTTGACGGGAATGAAGGGAAGAAAACACTGCAGTGGGTGACAGGATTGAAGGATCACAGGGAGAACCAGCAGGGCTTAACCAAACCAGACCAGACCAGACCAGACCAGAGGGGCAAATGCTCGCAGCTCTGATGAACTGGGGGAAGTGACAAGTCTGCGAAACCTGCAGGTGCCGAAGTGAGCGTCTGGCGCCGGAAGCCGGGGCCTCTGCTCCTGCCTCAGGGTTACTACACCCACAGCCCCACCCCCGGGACGGGACGAAGACGCTCCCTCTGCCTGCGCTGGGACACCGTGAGCGTGAAGGGCAGAGGGCCGCGTCATGCCCACCGCCCCCAGAATTCCCCGGCGAAGGCCCTGCTCGCCCTGGCTCCAGGCCAAGTGGGGCGTGAGGCCCGAGCCTGCAGGCGAAGATGCCGTGGAGCCTCCCTGGGATGCAGGCCGCAGGGAGGGAGGCATGGGGCCTCCAGCCCGGGAGGCGGGGGGGCAGCCCAGCAGGTCCACCTGCTGGAAGCAGTGCGAGAGCCCGGGAGAGACTGGCAGAGCCACCAGACAGACACTCGCGAGAAACAGGATGCCAGCTGCTTTAAGCCACTAAGCTGTGGGGTGTTTGTAACAAGGCAGCAGGTAACTGAAGGAGTCTCCTGAGGAGCGAGACGGAGCCCCAGCCCCCGACCCGGGGGCCCCAGGGTCCCAGCAAGGGGGTGGCAGCCCCCGGGCCCAGGCCTTTGTGACTCAGCCTCAAGTCCGGGTCACAACAGACAGGACAGCTGCACGGGGTCTGCTAACGCCATTCTGCCCAGGGAGTGAGAGTGTCCACGGCCCCTGGGACTCACACTTTGACCCTCAAACTTACGACCAGGCGATGGCGGCCAAGACAGCAGAGCCGGCACAGGGTCAGGTCGAGTGTCCAGGAAGTGCCCCTGCCTCTACAGTTGGCCAATGCTCGACGCGGGTGCCAAGGCCCCCCACCAGGAAAAGGGGCTGGACAACTAACTGGACACCCGCATGCAAGAGCACCAACCTGGATCCTAACCTCACACCAGACACGAAAACGACCTCAAAATGGATAAAACACCCTAAACGTAAGAGCCAGCACTACACAACACGTGGAAGAAAATACAGGTGTAATGCTTCACGACACTGGATTTGGTCTTGGATTCTTCAACGTGACACTAGAAACAAGGAACAAAAGAAAAAGTAGACAAATTGGACGTCCTCAGAATGAAAGACTT